ATTTGAATAAATGTTAACCAACGCACGAAGAAAACAAGTTTCAAGTACTTTTTGGAAATTTTTGAAGTGACTTTTACTATGGAACGGCTGCATGCACTTGAATGTCAATTCAAGAGTTTATAAAACGAATAAAACGTGACTACCCCATGCTTGTCACTTGCCAACAGGGTGGTAACACTCAATGGCTCGAGCCCAGTGGGTAGTTAAGTAAGCCTGTGGGGTAGTTACAGCCGTCAAAACGCATGATGACCAGGGGGGGGGGGGGGGGGGGTGCTCACTTTTTCTTAGAGTGTAGCTGCCTTTGTCTCCACTGCACTTGTGGACCGCATCGGCGTCCAGCGTATGACCAAAGTATGCTTTTCGCATTCGAACGCGTGCAACGAGTGCAGTGGGTGCGAAGGTACCTCTTTTCTGCACTATACTAGTCGAACGCTTTAGAACGCGAAGCGCCGGCGTCAGGCGTCTGGCTCTCGCATTCGAACGCATTTGACGAATGCATTTGAGACAAATGCAGCTAGCCTTAAGTCTACCCACTAATCATTCCAACGAGAGCTCGGTGTCCTGACGTTCCCGTGAGCTCTCGTCTTCTCGTCTCCCTCAGTTAATCCGAACATAAGATTGCCGCTGAACGAATAGCGAAGCAAGATACGGGAAAATATTATACAGCACTCTGCCTTTCTTTTAATTTCAGTCACAATAGTCCGCTCCGAAATTAAAACAACAGGAGGCTCCGCTTACAAGATAGAATATCCTCTTATTGTTAAATGCACGAGGTCGCATTGAGCCTTACGCAGATCTTTGATTTTGAGAAGGCGAACACCTTAAAACCATGCCGTTGCCGGGTACTCCTTCCTCTTCCTAACGCCAAAAGCAAAATGTGCTTAGTAATGAGTGGCGTCGTTTGGCCGCGAATAGAGAGGGGAGGGGGGGGGTTGAACTTTGAATCATTGTCGGCCATTATTGGGTACGCATGCTCGTTATAGTCAGCAAGTAACTACAATCCCTAGAGCATATATTCATCTCAGTTAACACATTTATTCGTTTGCTGATGAGTTGTAGCCACTTTCGAGCATGAGTCCCAAAAAGTGACGAACAGAAAGGAGCCCCGCGAATGCCACGCTATATTTTATTTCACTTTATTTCACTTTTGAAGAGAAAGAAGAAAATAGATGGTGTTATGGAGAATTTGGCAGCCGTGAAATGACGCCCGCTACTCCAAAACTTGAGAGTGATATGAACTAAGACCTAAGTGATATTAACAATGACTGAGAAATCCAGTTTGCATAATAAGGGGCGTAAATTTATCACTTCTTCACTCCTACCTAATGCACCGTAATCAGATGGTATCACATAATTACTTCTCATCAGAGCTAAAGAAACTGTCATCTGGTGTACCCCAAGGTAGTATTTTAGGCCCTCTGTTATTTTTGATATATATTAATGATATTTTTTATGCTCCCCTTTCAGTAAATATTATTGCCAATGCTGATGATCTTACAATGCTTGTAACAGGAAAAACGGTTGGCGAGTTGTCTGCATGTGGCAATCAATTCCTTCATACTTGCACCAATGGTCCGAAAAAAATCACTTGAAGGTTAATACTAACAAAACTAAAGCTATAATATTTCGAACGAAGAATAAAGTAATATCTGAAGATATTCAACTTCTACTAGGACAAAGCAGGATTAATATCGTACCAACGATGAAATGCTTAGGCGTTGTGTTTTCCGAGACGCTTAACTGGGATGCACAGATTCAACATACACGCATGAAAATGAACAAGATAATTGGTGTACTGTGTCGCCATAGATACTCGCTTCCGACAAGTGTTAAAATCCTCATTTATAATGCCTTTTTACTACCTATTATTACTTACTGTAATATCATCTGGGGAACAACCACAAAACAAAACAAACTCAAATTACTTCTTGCTCAAAAAAGGGCAAAGGCTGATTGCGAATGTCTCATGGTGCACGCATACCGAACAATATTTTTTCAAGTTCAGTATTATTAAGTCAACCTCTCTTTATGCTTTCAAATTGTTGTGTATCTATAAGAGTGCTGTCGCAACTAGCAATGATGTCCTGTTAAGTATGTTTAAACTCAATCGCCACACACCCGCATATAACATACGTCACAACAATGCTTGGTCATTGCCATTTTGCCGCACATCTTATCGCGCCCAATCATTATGTTATAGCTTACCACTTTATCTCAACTATCTTTTGCATAATAATATTTCTATATAAAAAAACCCAAGAAAAAATGGGCAGATTCATCTAATAGATCTACATTTTGTGTAAAAATTATGTTAGTGTTCCTTTCACTAAATATGCATAGTGCCCCATTACGTTGAATGTATCAGTGTACTTTTTTTTTTGGAAATGTTCTTCTGTTCCTGCCCACTGCTGTCGTGCGTAGGGGCGCAGGGGGCCCTCAAGCTGCACCACTCAGCTTTTTCCCTTGCGTCCCATCTCACAATGTAATGTTGAGAGATAAATAAATTCAAATTCAAATTCATACAATTGTCAGCAAACTGGATGTCAGGTTTCCAGCAAGAAATCCGTTTAGCGTTCCTGTTCTACTATAATCCAGTTACCGAAACGTTACACTGTTGTTGTTTTTTTCTGTAGGAAATTTATCCCTCGGGACATTCACAATAACCTTTGATATATGACATTACTGAAAATAAATCAACGGAATCAATGGGATCACTGAGGAAAGTCTTTCCTTAAATATGACGAGTATAATAGGCGGAAGAGCGACCAACCGAGTCAGTAAGTGGCGTCTAGTGTGCGATCGTGTCGGTGTTACTATGTTCTTTGCGTTCTGTGCTTGTGATCACTGTGTTCCGCTGATGTTAGCGAATGTGTTGCAATGTGAAATGTCGTGTGCGTATGGCAACGAGGTAGAGAGGCTTAGAGTGATAAACCGAGGTTCTAGTCCGCACACAGAAGTGCCCCTGTGCCCCCCCCCCCTCCCCCCCCCCCCCCCTGTGCCGCCGCCATTGTACGCAAATGTGACTGCTCGACACGTGACCCAACGAAGAACGTAACTTTACAAGCTGTATGCCAGCACCCAGGCAATGCTTCTCCAATCTGAGCAGAAGCATGTCGGCTACGTTTTTTTGTTGTTGTTGGTCGGAGCGATTTGATTTTGAGCCGTAACCTGAAGTCGGTCGAAAGCAACTTCAGTAAGTTTAGCGTCGTCTCTCACGTAGATATAACGTGAAAACACGAAGGAACAGTACGCATTTCGCTGGCGATCGGCGGGGATATTACAACGAAAGAGACGGAATCGGCCCTGCGTTGCTCAGCCTCGGATGGATGCGGATATTGCTATAGGATAAATATTAGCGGCACGTTTGTGTGCTTTCGTTGACCTTTGAATCTCCGAGTTCTGCAGTCAAGCACGTGCAATGTATATGGATACACAGTTGAGCTACCGAAATTTAACTTTAGTCGTGCTGGCAGTGTGCAGTCGTGGTGCCGCTTGGTCTAAATGACCGGGTGCTCACTTTGGTTGTGCGGCGCACCGTAGAGCCGCCTTGAAGCTGGTAGTTACCGCGGCGTACTATATGATGATTGTGCTGCTGGTTCTCTTCAGACAATATATCATACACGCCAGTGCATGATACATTGTCATCAATATATCATCCAATTTCAATATCAATTTCATCACCGTACCATTTCCTTTCCTAATGGTTTTCACTATCGATGTTCTTGTAAAGCTATTGCATTTCCTCGCGTTTTGTAGAATAAACAAAGCTGCATAAATTTTTATTATTCATGATATGTACCGACACGCCCAACAAACGCTGCCAACTTAATCTAGCTTTCTTATGCTCTCGCTTTAGCTTCAACATATCTTGCGCCTTTCAAGGGTCAAAATACTAAAATATTCAAATTTCTCCAATGCCTTCTGTAGGATCAACAATTCATTTTCAGGCACATATTTAAATTAAAATGTTCTTGCACCGAAATTTCCGCACACTGAAATGTTCCTCTATCGAAAGGTTCGCACACCGAGAAATGAGCCGTTCTACACCGAAATGTTCACATCCGTTACTCCATACAGGCATCGTTGAAATATATGTTCATAGCATGACGCAAGAGTCCCGACTTGCGTGGGGAAAAAGGACCTGGAGGGACCCTGCCTGAAAGGGCCTCGCCAAGGCACAAAACTAATAGAAATTGGGAAGAAAAAGTGGGCCCGTCCTGAGGGATTGGCAGATAGGTGCCCGAGCCTTGGGCCAAGCAGTGCCGCGGAAAACTGGGTTTAGGCTTGTGTTGCGGGTGTTTGTTACATTACATGTATATCTTGATACGTCTGACCTCGTGTCGGAATTCACTTCGAAAACTTCTGACAGGAGTACCGCCTGTTGCGAGTTCTGCCCAACAGGCTGTACGGAGACAGTTCTTGATGTCGGCGTATATTTTCGCAAAAGTATCACGTTCGCCGTTGTAACATTAGGCGTAAGCTAAAGGATAGCTTATGGCATGTCGCACGTTGAGCTCATACTTTCTTTTATTCGGTGAATAATACATTTGTGCACAGTCAGTAAGACGCAGGCAATAAATGAAAGAAGCGCCCAATAGAAGCACATATGCCGGAGATTAAAACACTGAAACAAATAGCAACTACACCGTACCTAAGAACTCTCAGAGCTAAGCCATGGTCATCAAAAATGATTTTTACTCAAAACTGGCGAACGTATTGCGTCATGTTGGGAACAAACTACTTGGCATTGTGACGCATTTACCCATATCCTTTAACATTTAGAGTATTTGCTGAAGTAAACAAGTTTAGCACATCCCTATCCTCATTTTAAATGAAACGGAATTATCAGGAATGATATTGCAATAAACGAAATGATTACTACTGCAAGTAGACATTTTATTCCCACCACCGCAACACACCTCTGTAAAACGATATCCATGGCCGTTCTAAATTAACTGTCAGAACTGTATTCTCGTCCTCGCTGGCCTCAGACTGAAGCTTTAATCTGGGCAACTGTCGTCATAGGTGTAAAACTTCTGCTTTGTGCCGCAGAGAAGATCGAAGATGAAATCGCAGCACGTCGCGTTCTTTCTCAGGCCACTCACAGGAAGGATAAGAGTGCACGCCTCATCTGCAACGTTCAAAAAAACATGATTGGTATTTTAGTTTTGTATAAATAACAAAATGAGCACAAATGTGACCCTAATTTCAAACATTTGACCATTTCCAAAGCCGTACAACATTTCAAGTTATTTGCGTCGGTTAAAATTTATTATTCAAAATACCCTCCCCCAAAGGAATGTGACAAACCAATCCCCTATTCTGTAAAAAAAAAAAAAAATTAAACGTTCAATTAGTACGGGAAAAAATAAAAAAAAAAAACGTTTAACTCGATTTGCGTTAAACAAGATAAAAAATAAATGAAAACTTCATGTTCAATGCACCGGTGCATATGGCTCTTTCGAGATAAAATCGGCTTCTGAATCTCGGAATTATCTTTCTTCTGCGGTAATGTCGGTGTTTCTTTTTTGTTCTTTTTTTTTTTTTTTGTCCATAAAAACTACTTTTCGGGAAAGCAATGTTTGAATGCGAATTTGACGTTTAGTTTGGGCTGTTTTTTTTTCTGTATTGTTTTACATCACTACCAAATCACAGTGGTATAATGGCAAATGCAATACACGTAGTGTGCACATTCAAACACTGTCATTTGAATACAGCAGTAAAAACGAAAGAACACTAAAGAGGTATATTTAGGTAGGCCTACTCTTAGAAACACGTCCACTGCGTGCAGTGAACGGTACGTACTTGGGCTAGTTTCTAATTCATTGCATACGAAAAGACAGCAAACAACGATGACGAACGTGTTCAACATCAACGAACACCATGATACATACGCTGCATGAAATGACAATCGGCCTGCCAAAAAACAGCGCGGAAAGATGTCGAGTTGTTTCACTTTTCAAGTCAGAACCTAATATTGGCCTCAGATGGCATGAAAGGTCACATGAACTACGTCAAAATTCGCAGCTTAAGTCAACAAATCACGGAGTCGCCTTGAAAAAGCTCCGTCGCTTAACAAAACGTGAGCTTTTCATTTCAGTCTTCTGGTCAGGCTCTTTACGTGAAAGTTACTCGTAAGCGTATCAAACTTTGAAATTTTGTCAGTGTTAACAATGCACGCGCAGACGCAATCATAACAATGCACACTAAAGAAGCTCTGCGTAGATCTTCAAGCTGAAAAAAAATAACACAGTCTAGGGGGTTTTTCTTGGAAAAACGCGTTTCATTTTAGGGGGCACTGATTCCTACATTTCATAGCTCGATCTTTAATTACATTACATATTAAGGGACGTTGGTTCCATTTTTTCCAGAATGTTTACGCAGAGTCGTGTATTTCGATAAAAATTCTGGGGCATCTTCATTCGCTAATTTTCACCTAAGCATATACCAGCAGAGATCCCTTGGTCAACTCGAAAGTGATCTAGAATGTCTGGCAACCATTAGCTTATATCAATAGGGTGATACCTTACGTACTATTTCAATGCCACATCACTAATGCGAAAATGTGTCCTTGTCTTATACTCTACAAGTGTTTGTAAAAAAAAAAAAAAAAACATTTGAATATACCGAGATTAACCAGAACCTCGATTGATCACGATGCGTGAAGCAGGGCAGAAAATTTAAACTGAGTGCACGCCCCTCCCCCCCCCCCCACCCACACGCACACACGCACACAGCCACACACAGACACTCATACGCATTGTAGCAAAGAGATGTTCGGCATTGCAACTCAAAGATCTCAAGACATCCAATCAGTACTATTCAAGTGGATTTCTTACAACGTTTCTCATTGTGGCCTCGAAGCTGAGGGCGACGTGTCATAAGCGCCTTGGCGTTTTTGTTAAGAAATTGATCTGTCATATTGTGACGCTTTTTCAGGAAAATGTGAGACACCACTACAAAAATTCTAGACACCCTCTGAAAGTTACCCCTTACAGTTTTAAGACTGCATCAGGATGCAGTCTTGACGCCAATCATTAGTATACTTTGTAGCGGTTTGAGAAACAATCTACAACAAACATCTTGCCTGCCAATACATAATGTTAACAGATCGTGTGATTGGAATCATTGTTCCAACGACGAACCACCATTAACGTCCCAAAGGAATCTCCGCCAGCATGTGAACATGATAGAGCAGCATTCAGGACTGAACACTTTGCCTATTTTTTTAGGCTGACATTTGACAAGCTACTGATTAGGATCATGGAAACGACGTTGCTGTTTTGGGGGTTAATAGGGTGTTTAGGTGTTGTTGTAACACGACACGGGGTAGATATCACGTTTTGATATAACTTATCAAGACAAAACTTTTATCTCCTTAATCAGAATAAAGTCCCTATGACGGACCATTGGCTCGGATGAATTTAAAATATTAATTTCGTTTTTCCTAGACATGTCTTTACGTATATGCCATGCAGATTCCATAACTCCAGTGTTTTGAGATGTAACATATTGCCACTTTTAGAACGCAGTTCTTAGGCGCGCGTTTCCGGCTTGAGCGGCGTCGCCGTCGGCGTAACGGTGAGGTCACGTGACCCCGGGGACGTCACGTGACCCACGTGAGGTCGCGTGGTCCTCTTGAGGTCATGAGGATCACGTGACGTCACAAGGGTCTCGTAACCTCACGGTTACGCCGACGCCACTTGGAGGGAGAAGCAGCAGGCAGGATGAGGAGGTAAGGAGGAGGGAGGAGGAGTATACCCTTCCCTCCTCCTCCTCAAGAGCAGCTCTCTAATTCGGTGTTACAGGGAGTTGTAAATGGCTTTCATTTATTTTTTGTTCACGATAAGGACCAATAAAGCATATTAATATATTGCTTTATGAGAGCAATTCAAATGTAGGCAGTGATTGGATGGTACATGTATATATTGAGAAAAACATTTACACTATAGTACAACACAGGCAGAAGCAATAAAGTGCAATGACGTTATATTGCCCTTGCAGAAATAATAAAGGAACTGTTACATTTTATTGTGCTTCTTAGCCACATTTTCACTAGGAAAACAAACATTTTAGAAGCTTACAACGTTACAAAAAGACTTACCACTGATATAGTTGTTTCTGAACACCAGACACTGCTGCTGGTGGCTGCAATCTAAGTACGCAACGTACACAAGCAGTGAGCTATTTCCTGAAAACACAAAGAAAAAATCGGTTTCTGTTCCCAGAGCATGTTTTTAGAATGTGACTATACTGGGTAATGCAAACACAACTTTTAAATTTATTCCTTCTGGTGAGGTATTAAATCTTAATATTGCGTGTTGACTTTCCTATCTCACAGATTGGGCAGCACAGACGAGCGATACGTTAGGTAATAAGTCCATTTAACATATGAACACTTAGCTGTCCGGGTTTTATCAGCCTAGATACAACTTTATGAGTGCAGACTTACCACCCACGGCTTGAAAGTATTCCAGATTATTTACATCGTATCCTTCAGATGCCGCTAGGGTTGTGAGTACTTTGCTGTGGAGAAAATGGAAGGAAAAAATATACATATTTTGAGTGTACATTATTACTCAGTGAAAAAAGGAAAACATTCCTGAAGAAACGATATACAGATATAGTTCACAAGCTCTAGCACCTCCATGCGACATCGATCGTTGTCGTGGTGGTCTTGCAGCCGTCATCGAGCGGCTCGCTCTCCTTGAGCACAAAGCGATATTTCAAAGGAAATATTTTTGTACTTGTATTTACCTCCTGGAGGACAAGACAAGCAAATATGGTTGATTGATGTATTTAATATATTCAATATCAAACAGCGTTAACAGTAAACCTGAATCAGTACATTGCTTGACCGAAAAGCTATAAATAATATCCCAACATCCTCCGTCGTCTAAGACTTGAAAAGGCAATAATCACAAACTTGACTTTAATACATTTGAGCTTGTGCACCCGATTCGGTCATGCACATGATATTTCACACCTAGGTAGGTCGCGTGTTGTCGTCATCGCTTCTCATAGTCGTCCTTTGTTGTTGTTTCTTATCGTTAAGCGTAGTCGTCATCGCTATTGGCGAAGAGATCAAACTATAGGGGGCGCTCTGACGCGTTCGTTGTCCCCACACACCGGTGTTTACCCAACACAAGGCCTTTGAACATGCCCACAGGCCTTCTGCGCATTTTCACGGCTTGACGTTAATATACTAACAATAAGCGAAGTGACGTTCATTGTTAGTGCCAGATCTCTCCAAAAAGCAGTCGTCAAAATAGCGAGCTTGACCCACCTCGGCGTTTGTGCTGAGCTGGGCATACGCACCGTGCATGCTGCATTGTTCATGCAGGCCGGAGTGGTAACAAAAGAGCCGCTCCTCCGCCTTAGGTACCCGGAAAACAGGAACTCCAGCCTAACGTTGACGCGGCATTCGGTTGTCAGCCGAGCTCTGAGTGATTGTTATTTATGGTCCCCATCCATGTAGTTCAAAATTTAGCCGCTAGGGGCGCCAAGCTCTAATCTGCTCCCCAATAGTCATGGCAGCTTAAGAAACGCCGGATGTGGCCAGTCCCGTGAATCTTATTACTGATCCGCGCTCAATGAAATTACGGCATTATCCAGTAAAACGCCGAGAACCAATCACAAAGCGGGAAAAGTGAACTTAATAAGCCAAGCCCTGCACTTCTTCCTCCAATGACTATATCATTGCTTGTCATAGTCATCGGTTGCCCACGTCGTTTTCGTCCTTGTCGTCTCTTTTCGTCGTCCTCGTTTGTTGTCGTCATTAGACGCCGTTTGTCTTCGACGGCTGTCGTTGTCGTCGTCTTCCGTCGTCGTCGTATTGTGTCATTGTGGCTTGTCATCGCTGTTCGTCGCTATTCTTCGTCTTCGCCATCGTCGGTTTACTGAGCTGAGGCTGTCGACACTCAGCACTTCCGCCGTAATGTAACAAAATAAAAAGTTGGCTTGTGCAGTAAAACTCAAAATGTATTTTACTTGCCAACTAGGGCTTACCAACAAAAACAAAGAGCTACATCCGGTGTCGGCACAGGGAGGGTGATTGACTTTACGATAAGTTTGAACAGTTTATTAGAAAGTTCGAGACGACAGAAAAAGGTAAAATGAGAAAGAACATGCATAGCACATGACAGGCAGGGATTTCCCTAAGTAGAAAGCACCACCTCTCAGGTGTATATATAGAGAAAGGGAAACATACATTACAGGTATGAGCATTTGGTTAATAGACGTCTGTAATTTAGCTAGTGGACTAAAAAAGAAACAGTCATATTTTATCTAGCCTCGCCTCGCATCGCCTCCCCCCCCCCCCCCCCCCCCCCCCCGAGCCATTGGGACACCCCCCCCTTGATTAGAATCCTGGGGAAGCCCCTGATGACAGGCCCTAGTGTTACGAAGTGCAGAAATCGCGCAGACAGCGGTAAGAGCTTGTACCGGGTTCCAACGGCGAGACACGATGCGAGACGCCGCCTCGTCTGGCTTTTTCGTATGGGAAGGAGATCATTTTTAATCATTGTCTGCCCCTTTACAATACTCCAAAAGATTTCTGCAGGCAGTTGTGTGGATAAACATGTTTTAGAGACTCTTAGTGCTGTGCCTGTTCGCAATTTCTTCAAGGGACCATGTCGGAGCTAGCAAAACAGTTAAATAGGTTCAGGAAAATGTTCAAAATAGAAGAGAAAGCGAGATGTAGGTTGGTGTCACACACTGAAGGTAGATAGAGCTCTATTGCCCCATTCTCGGGGTGGAATATACTGGTCAATAGGGAAACAGTCAATCTCGGCATCATTCTGGTCCCAGCAAAGAATTGGACTGCGTTTTCAAAGACTTATACGCAATGAAAGTGGAACGTCGGTGGACTTCTTTATATTAGGCAGTTTTCACCTTGCGGCATCTCCCAAATTTTGAAGCACCGTCTAACATTTATTATTTGCGAGCTCCTAATGTTTGCGATTAAAGCGAATTCAAAATTTAGCCAAACTTGAAAGCATGCGAAAATTCCGGTCTCCAAGAGCTCTCAATTCGGGCGTCTGGAATTCGTGAAATGGTAAAAACTTCGGATAAAAAAGAAAACAAAAGTTGTACACTATCTTAGCATGAAAGTGAGGGTGCTCGACATTCTTCAGATTCGCATATAATTGGAACGCACGAAGGTAAAGCACTCTTCCGTCTACATAATATCAACTAAACTGTCCGCTGAAAAAAAAAAAAAAAGTCACAGGTTGAGCAGCGGCACTTGCTCTTCGATTAAGCACAAGAGGAAAATAAGCAGGCCCGCGTTCTTTTGCTTCTTGCTATCGCTCGAGGGGAAAGGTCCTCCAAAAGTTGGGCAGACAGCGTGCTCACGACGCTATCTGCGTCCCAGCAACAGCGACTTGGCGACTTCACACCAACCCGGGGGACCCGCGGGTGCTTTTTTCGAGAGGGAGACAGGAAACGACGGGACAATGATCAACGATCTCGGCGCATGCGCGGCTCGTCGCCGCACGCCGCACTATTTTCCTTCCGCAGCGCGCCGCAGCACGCCGCAGCACGCCGCCTCGCGTCTGCGCCTTCGTGTCCCTGCAAAAACCGACCGTGGCTTCCCGCAGTGCTTGGCTCCAGCATGGCACCATAGCGGTACTCTGCTCCGCAAGCGGAGCATATACAGTTACTCTACACGACGTGAGCCTCCAGCGCCGCAGTACGTCCGCCCAGAGCAACCTTCACCAAGGAAGACGTCTGGAAGACGGCCAACCGACGCCCACTGTGTTACGACTGCGGAGAAGCCGACCATATGTACCGGCGATCCCCGTATCGGCAGGTCGGATTTTTAGGGAAAATCCAATATATATATATATATATATATATATATATATATATGGGGTGTTCTTTTTTAAGATATACTAATTTGTTAAAAAAAAAAAAAACGTTAAAGTTACACTCCTGCGGTTTGTGCAGGTGAGTTATGCGGCCAGGTTAACATTATTTGGGTACATAATGTTTGCGATAAGCCGGTTTATTATTTTCGACTTGTTAATTACCGTTTTCATTTCCGAAATTATATATAAGGTTCCAATTAGAAACTTAAAAAGCGTAACTGAAAACCACTAAATTAACTCTTTTTAGAACGACTTAAGCTCATGAGAAACTCGGAGGCACATTCAAGTTACAACTCGCGAAGCAGGCGCAAAGCGAGCAGTGGGAAAACGAGGATGATTAGATTATCATCGTGTTCCGCCACTGCCAGCTGCTAGTGGTATCTTTGGTGCGCCCCCGAGCTTCCCACGAGCTTCAAGTCGTTCTAGAAAGAGTTTATTTACTGATATTCGATAACGCTCAGCAAGTTTCTAATGGGAACCATATGTCTATTGTCCCCAATTAAAATGTTACTTAACGAATTTTAATTAATTAGCCGACTTATCGCAAAGATTAGCCGCCCACATCGGTTCCTCCTGACCGTAAAACTCACTCGCACAAACCGCATAAGTGTAGCTTTCATGATTTTTAAACAAATATGTAAAAAATGAAAAAAACAACCAGTATATCTATATATATATATATATATATATATATATACATATATATATATGTCACAAAACAAAAATTTGTAGGGTTTTTATTTCCGCAAAAATAAACTAGGCAACATCGAACGCTCATTCTCCGCCCAAAGATAGCGCTGTAGGCCACAACCAGATGCCAAAGTTTCAGCCCGATCCGATAACTTAATCAAAAGTTATAAGCGATTTTCTGAAAATTTCAACGGGAAAATGGCGGCCGACGGAGATTTCGAATACATGGGGCTCTCGGCATCAGAAACCGAAAACGGGCAAAAATGAGCTTCATTTTCCAATTGAAATGTTCATATATATATTTATTTATATATTTATTTATTTATTTATTTATTTGATTTTTTATAGCTTGTGGTTGCTTAATAAGGTTCGCTGTATTCTCGAAATTAAAGACTTGGACACTAACAAAACAAGCTTTCGTTTCGCAATTCTACACGAATTTTGCTCTACTGTTTCGAGACTTCAGAATTCTCACCAAGTTTTACCAGAAAAAACAATGTTTTCAATGCTGTTAATATTTCACGACCATCTTCTAATATACAATAAATAACTAGTTTATCATTTTTGCTTTTGCTATGGGTTCATATAGAGAACTAGACACTGAACGCAGTATTCTATTAAGGAAGTTTGCAGCTGTCCCGCACTTTGCATTTACGCTCAAAAGTTTTAAAAAGCGAGTTTTTATTTTAGTTTTTATCGCAGTAAATCGTTTGTTAATACTGGCGATCTGATCAATCATTGCAACTACTGACTGTTATTGGTCATTGTTATTTTTTCACTGTGCTCTTGTTCCATTGTATTTTTTTTAACAAAACACCATTGAAAGTAAACGGGAACATAAAAGTTTATTCACATTTTGGAAGACGCATTGAAAGATGCCAAAGTTATACTCACATTGAACTCTGCCCATATTCGACTAACATTGGGAAGGATCCGTTTTCTGCGGGACCAAGGCTGGTAAATCGGCCACACTTTTCGGTACCACCAAATACTGGATCATTCTCGTAGTTTCTGTAGATCGTGTACCACGTCTCTTGAATCGGTAAGCACTGCACAGAAGGATTCACTAAACAACAGGCTGAAGCATACGCTTTTCCCTATTTCTATAGTATGTTACAGTTTTAGAATGTTATTACAAGCCCCTTGCACAAAGCCAGTGTTGTACGGAACGGCGTTGTAAGGAAGGGCGTTCCTTGAACACGCTCCTTTGAGGAGGAACAAAGGAACGATGCCGTTCCATCTTGCATCAGTGGAACTGAGCAGGAAGCTGTCACGGTTCTTACAAAAACAAAAAAGAAGGCGGTTTTTTGTATTTGTGTAGTCTTGCACTTCTTATTTAACTTCTGAGGGGGAACTGTAAAAAGTATGAGAACAATATATTTATGAAGAGCAGGATCTCTTTAGCTTTTTTGTTAGTTATTTTAGGGTTTATTTTGTGGGGTATTCGTATGGTAAATGTCGGGAGAAAGCTAGCTGGTGGACATCGAATCATTTCTTAGTGCTTGAGGCTCCAGTACAAAAACCAAAACATTTAGTCAAAGAAAAAAAAGCACAGAAAAAAAGACGTCCCAAACTCAGCTACTTTATTTGCTTCCCAGAATCCTCAGACACCCAGAAATCTAAGGCCTACTACAGCCATCACTGAACCTCCACTAAGATACCTACAGTTACAACAAAAGACCACGTTAACAGGCATCGAAGGCACCCTTGTTGCTCGAACATCGGAAACTTAAAAGATACACAACACTTAACCTATATTCCCCCTCACCTTCTCCCCACATTCACACTGTAAAACGAATCTGACCCTCACGGAGAAGAACTGGTAGCTTTCAAGACTGAGCTTCCAGAATACCTACCCTCTTCTCCACTTACTCGTCTTGCGGACAGCAACATCGAGAAGCAAGTGTTGATAAGTTCAAACAAGAAGCTTTTTAATATTGAAACGTTTGAGGTTGTTGTGAAGCGCGTGTGCAATGTGGGATAATCCTTAATAAAGAGTTACTAAATTATATCCGCTCCTTCCCGGCTCACACTACATTTGGCTCGTATGAATAGCCCACCTGAAACATAGATGTGGTGAAGGGCTAATTTTAAAAGGTGAATATATCAACAAAAATAACTTTGCTTACGGTTTTTTTTTGTGTGTGTGTGTGTCCTTCCATCACGGCATTCAAATCCGCATGTTGTCATTTGATGGTATATAAGTCAAAGATGCGTACCGTCGGAGTTATTAATACGAAGTTCATTATGACGGCTCCCCGCTCGAAACGTCGTAATAAACTTCATATTAGTAACTCCGTCAGGACGCGCCTTTGACTTATTTACTCTTCCCGGTCTATTGCTTTATATTGACCTTACTTCACCTCTCTCTCTCTATATATATATATATAGGGTGGTCCAAGTCACCAGGCTCGATCTAAAATGTACCATAAAAATGGACGCCTGCTCGTAGCGATCTAAACTTTTCGTCAAAGGTGTATATCACAGGTCGGTTTTTTCTTGTAAAATTACAACGCGTAGCTCTCTTTCTGTAAAAATTAAGGGCAAGAAACTTGTCAGGGTCTACGACGGGCAGCGACGCAGACGACAGGGGTTCAGTAGCGGGGTGTATTTGGTGTCCGTATTGATAGATGGCGCTACCTCCTTATCGCGACGGCTCGCGACCACTGTGGTTTATTAGAATGAACATAATCGTTTTCAAAAGTACCTTCGTTAAAAAATAAATGCGGACAATAAAAGAAAAATTTAAACTAAAAAATTCCGTCTGCATAACGGCGGCGCTTTTGCTGCCAACGGATTTCGTCTGCGTGTCGTCTGTTTTCTTTCGCTGGTCGGCTGCACCTTTGGACGCTGCTTCCGGCACCATCTATCAATACGAACGCCAAACATACCCCGCTACTGAACCCCTGTCGTCTGCGTCGTTGCCCGCCGTAGACCCTGGCAAGTTTCTCGGCCTTACTTTTTACAGAAAGAGAACTACGCGTTGTTATTTTACAAGAAAAAACCGACCTGTGAAATACACCTTTGACGAAAAGTTTAGATTGCTACGTGCAGGCGTCGATTTTTACGGTTCATTTTAGATCGAGCTTGGTGACTTGAACCACCCTATATATATAAAGAAAATATTGCGTACGGTGCCGCTGAATATAAAACAGTGAACTCGCACTTCGAAGCGATGTCGACATTTCGGCCTGAGATAGGTCTTCAAAACTGGTTGCCATTTTTTTTTTTTTTTTTTTATTGCGAAAATCTTAACTGTCCCGTGGAGCGAGCCGACGTCATCAGCTTCGAAACCGCCGCCAAACGACACCTAAACTCATTTCTCTCAATGGAGCCGAGTGAAGCCGCTTTCTGACAGCACCGAGCTTTGAAGCCGCGCAAAAAGCCGAGCCAAACGGCACCTAGTTTTCCCTCTCCCAATGGATCCAAGTGAAGCCGAAATCTGATGGATAGGCTCCGAGGCTCCCAGTGGCCGCCGCGCGTCAGTTTCAAGGCCGCCACCCCATAACGCTGCGGGTGCGCGCCGTCAGCGCGGCGGTAAAACAAAGCGTCTGGCCGCCAAGCGAGTCAGGGGGCGTATGGGCACACTCCAGAGCGGCTCCACGGCCGAGACGTGGCCGTCCGCGCCAGTACGCCGCAGACGAACTAAGAGAGCGGAAGAACGTATTCATACTTTCGGATTCCCAACTCATAACAGGTGCTTAGCTGTCCGTCGAACCTTTTCTTTAAAAAGGGAGATATTTTTGTACGTAGTCCGGGCTTTTACTTTGCTTGCTGTGTGCGTTAATTGCTTGTTTTTTTTTCTTATGTAGGGAGAATATTGTTGAGCGTTGTCCCAGCGAATTAATTTTCGTCGACTAGCATTGTTGTGGGCTTAGGCACTGTAATACGTGATGTGACCCAGGTGTGTACACTGAAAATAACTCTAACCAATTTTGGCAACCAGACTCTATGAAGGCCCGACTCAGGCGGAAACGTCGGCTCACTAAATGCTTTAAAACACCAACAACGCTTCGAAGTGCGACTTCTGTACTTCATATATACCGGATGTTCCATTTTAATTCGAACAGATTTATTACAAAAATCTGTAAAAGGTGCACTAATGCAGTGTGGGAAGGTGAGTTATACCACAAGGGGGACATCATACGTTGCTAATGTTTGCGATAAGTAGAATAATTACGTAAACTTCCTTAATTAACGTTTGAATTACTAAAATAATCATATGATTTGAATTAGAAACTGGTTGAGCGTCATCGAAAACCACTACATCAGTCAATTTTACATCGACCTGAAGCTCGTGGGAAACTCGAGAAAAAGAGAGGTGTGTAAAATCTCTGCTTTTCAACTCCTCTCTTTTTCTTCTCTCCCTAAGCTGAAAGCGTGGTAGAAGGTAGGCACTCGCCGGACCAATAAACCATAGACTTTTTATCGCTTGACTCCGCTCTCTGTGCGCATGTAATAGAAGGAGCGTGATCATGTAGTTGGATGAATGACGCATGAGCCGTTGCCGATACCGGAATTCCTACTTGCGAATCCAGTTTCACGTGTGGTGCGGCTCGCGGGGCTCCTGTGGATTTCGCTTCTATGATAAATGGTATCTCGCTTGAAAATTCCTACCCGTATGTCGGCAACAAGCGATTTCTTCAAAGAAGCAAAGACATTCTTGTGATGGCGTTCAGTGTTCGGTTGGGCAAATGACGGCTTGTGCGACATCGTGGTGAATCTTAGCGGATCCCTTTCTTCTCGGTTTTGTCTTTGAGTGGATGTTCGGCAGTTCCCGTGTCTACATATACCTCGGATTACATCGTTCAAGTCCGGTATTGTCAACGGAAGTGCGCTGCAACCTACTCGGCGACAATTGACCTTTTGCACATTCTATCTCCTGGCAGGCTGAGTGAATAATTTCCCCGACATTCTACCGCAGTCGCTGGCCATTAGCTGTTTGAAATCATGTGAAAACTGCAGGTAGAATACTGAATTTCTTATTCTCCCTGAGTTTTGTGGAAACACCTTTCATGAACACCTTTTCGTGGATACACGTTTCCTGGACACACGTTCTGTCGACACTAACGTTTGATCGACACTCGCTACGCGAACTGGATGCTGCAGGCACATTTCGTCTTACCTCTATTCCTGAGGCGCGTGCTCACTGACCCAGCCCACCCATTCACGCCACTTCTGGCGAGTCTGCAGCAACTCATTACAACAACAAAAATAACCTATTTTGAGTTGTTTATAAAGCATCACGTGCTTGTGAAGCGATCTGTCGATGAAACGTTTTTCGATGACTGGCGACGGCCAGTAGAATTCCGGGAAAAAAATTTGGCCGGCTACCGGGAGACTAGACACTACCCACGAATAACCTTTGGTTCTTGTTTGCTTTGCATTCTTCTCAGTTGCGTAACAGCTTAGCAGTACCTCTTCACATATTGCAGATTGCTTAGTTTGTACTTGTCTACAGAATGGGCTGTGTGTAATAAACTTCTAGGAGATTTGAAAATAATTCCATGTGTCTGTTTACCTGACCTTTTGCAAACACCTGGGAGCGGGCATTTTTTATTTTGTTGTTGAAGGGATTGCTCCATGTTTTATATAGGCTTATGAAGTTCGAAACGTCTTAAATGAGTTTGGGATGTCCAGCCTTCTTTTATATCCAAATACACGGTTTTTTGTACGATGTAGAGTGACAACATATAATTTGTTTCACATTTCATACGATTGCGGTAAAAAGAAAAACTACAAACAGCTACAGCACGATGATAAAGAGACCCATAGGACGAGCTATAAAAGGAACTATAGCAAACCATACCGAGAGTAATAGGCGGCTAAAATACAATAGGAAATGCTATAGGCTGCTATAGCGCGGTGTCTCAAAATATACATAGAGTAAGCCATAGTGATCTCTAAAACAGACGATGCAAGAAGCTATGGGTGGCTAAACGAACCAATAGAACAATGGGTATAGAGAACCATAGGACGAACTGTAGAATGAGCTATAGTGGACCATACACAGAGCAATAGGAAGCTATTCACGGTGTCTAAAAATATCTATAAAATAAGCCATGGAGATATCTATAGCAGACCATACAAAAAACTATACACGGCTAAAGGAACCAAAAGAAAAGCCACGAGCGGCTATAGGATCCTTTCTAAAAAGACCCATAGAGTAAATTATAGAAAATTCTGTAGGTTTTCTTTGAAACAGCTATAGACAGCCTTATGCGAGACCATAAGAGAAGCTAAAGACAGCCATAGAAGCGGCTATAACTAATTTGGCCAATTTTTATAGCCGGCTATACAAAGCATTTCTTATAGACGACCATAGACCATTTTTGCACGGACTAGGGCGACATGTTTTGTATAAGGCGAACTTCTCGATACCCTTTGCAAAAAAAATAAAAAAATGCGCCTATGGCCTCTTCGCATCACCAGTGAAGCGCTGTGCATACTTAAAAGCATGGAATATCTGTTACTATCAGCCTCACAAAACAAATATGAAAATAGGAGCTTCTAGATATATAACACAACTATGACTTTGGCTGCTCCCTCATCGAACTCTTTCAAACGTTAGCACCGTTAGTGGCGACTCAACGAACTTCATAATATCCGCCATTACTACGCCACCGAATTCTAGAAGGATGTGACCGCGTGCCTAATTCTTAACATGCCAAGAACCGATGCGCGGCCAAATTAACTCGAAAAATACCAAAAGTTTAAAAAAGTTCCTTAATTTAAGCCTGTGGTGCCTGGAACGCGTCTCCTACTGGTGTGCTTACCAAGTCCAAAAAGGCGTATCCTAAATGTCCGCCCGGTGACCTCATAGACGTATGATCTGGTCGGCGGCCGCCATACTGCCGGTGTAAAAGCTGCGGTGGTGCATATGACAGACGCATGTTCTGCTGCATGGTCGCTGTCCAGCTTTGCAGCCTACAGAAGCTTGGACAGTCAGGAGCTGGAACGCCGTTACGACAACGACACTCGCGTTCTCCCGTACTTTTAACCGGGACTTCTGGCACTAGCCAGAAGGAGGGCGACATCTGACGGACTAACACTTATGCAATATGGCGTCATTTGCTGCCACGTCGCAAACACTTTTGGAATAGGATGCTAAACACACCAGTCGGGGACGCGCTCTAGGCACCGTGCTCACAATAAAGCCGAGTCTGGACAAAGGCTGAACAAGAGCGCCGCGTCTGCGCATGGCTGATGTAGGACTCGGATTCAATCAGCCTCGTCGTTGGGCACGAAAAAATGTAAACATCCGTGCCGTTGTACTGTAATGGTGCTTCACGGACTAAGAGGAGGGTGCGAGACGGCTTTGTATTGTCTAGGTCGAGTTGGTCGGTTGCAAAGGTTGACTTGATGACTGTTTACATTGATAGTAGATAACAATAGTTTTCACGCTACATCGTATTTGTTGACTCCGAAGACCCCCTCTTCCTCCCTCCTAAATCAAATGCCAGGAGATAATATGCAACATGGCCCGATAGTTTCAAGGAGGTGTTCTCTCCAATGCAGATTACACTAAAGTAACACAACTTAAGGAACGCAAGGCGTAGCGTGTACCGAGCACCTTATAATTCCTCGGCAGTCAATGAGATTTCAGCATTAACCGATAGTAACGTCGAACAAACAGTCAAGAAACAAGTAATCCATAGATGTAATAAGCCACGCCACGTGTTTCTTAAAATGTCACTAACTATATTGAACACAGCAGGAGTGAGGAAGTGTTATGTTCCATTCCTGTTCACCGAGTATAGTTCCCTATACTTGGACATTCCGCCGCGTTATCGTTCTTATAATCTCGTAGGTTGTGTGTCCAGGGTACCAACAAGCTTCAGGAGATAACCTAAGCATGGTTGCGCAAATTACGGCGCGATTTTTACCTAAGCACTCATCAACTGCAAGTGATTACGCCAAGTCTCTTATTCTCTTCATAAGAAAATACATTGTCATTTTTCACAGCACCATCATAAGAACCGCAGCCTTGTTCGGCCTCATTGTTGCTCTGCGTCTCAAACACACCCTATAAGAATTCGCAAATGGGAAACGGATATCGACATCAAACACCAATATTTGGAAATTCCATTATCAGTTCTACCAACGAGACATGGCCGATTAATGTCGTGTTCCCATCGTCGTGCAATATCAGTGGGGGGAAAAAAACGACGTTCAATCGCGTTTGCAAGTGATATCGCGTGGCTATCGGAGCTTGACACCATTCGCTCTCTTGATTGAACGAACGGGTCAAGGGAAGACTTGTTATTTGAGACCCGACCGCATAATCGTACAGCTGACATGCAGTAGTCTTTGAGAGATTAGGTATGAGTGAGACGTAACATTTGACTAGACCTACATTCGTGGCGTTCTGGTACTTGCCCAGTGCTGGGTTCAGTTCTGGATAGGGAGGGCGAACGCCGCTGCACAAGGAAGTCAGAAGGGCGGTGGCAGCAATATTACCAATGAAGAGCGCTTTTGCCATGGTGGTGTGTCTCCAAAGCGGCCGTCTACGATGCTTTCCCTGGAAATAACACAACCAGATTAGCGTTGGGCTATATAACTAAGCTTTTATCTTTTACCTGTTTTCTACACATGACGCACTTGTCATATAATCAACGAAATCAAAAGTCCCAAAAGTGCTTAGCTCGTAGGACATTTCATTTTTCATTTCAAAATTCCGCCATTGTTGGTTTTTGCTTGTAACTTGACAAGTTCTCAGAACTGAGTTAAAAACATCCTGCAATAAGCACGTACAAAAAAAAAATTCCTGTCTATCCGAACTATTTTACGATGACGTAAACTCTATACAGTCCGTTTTATAGAACAATGATTTTGCTGGGAGCTAGAAGCTATGATTCTTTTTTTTATTTTCATTTTTCAAAACCACCGTAGCCAGGCGGTACGCAACACTCGTTTCCGAGAGCCGTACCTTCAATCGGTAACTTATGAAGCTCACCCTACCGCAAAACTCCGTATAACTTTTCACTATCTGGATTATGAAACTGGAAATCAAACTGGAATCGTTTCTGGAAACCTGAATCTCACTATAGAATTCCGATAGATTTTAATTTCTATATCCAAGAAATATTTATACCACGTGGTTGTTTTTTTTTTCAGTAGGGTTGCCCCTTCACGGAAGGTGTGCATGTCCTTCCGAAGGTAGCGGTAAGCCGCACAAATGCGGCAACCATTGAGCGATTGTGCGGCTCGAAAGCAACACCACGATCAATATGAGAACTTAACGGACTCGTCTTCATCAGAAATTGTTACTTAATGTTGCACGAGTGTGTTTTCGATGATATGGCTATAGAATTTAAAGGCGAGGACTTACATATACTGAAATTTAATGGCCCGTAATTTTCTAACTCTCTGAGGGCAATTCAACGCGATTAATGACTTTTAATCTACCACCACTTACGTAACTTCAGGACTCCCAAAGGGTACAGTTCTCCACTCCCTTTCGCTCGCTTATTGGCGTGAACGCTCTCGCAGCAACTATATAAGTTGCCATGCAACTTCTTCCTGACGATTGTATTTTATACAGAAAAATTTACATCCGCGAAATCAAATTATTCGCAGTTATAAACAACTTTTTCGACTGGTGTACGACATGGCAAATGCAACTAAACTTCAATAGGTGTAACTAGCTTTCATTCACCAGAAAACACTCCGTTTTATCATTATCATATCTGTTAACTGATGCGTGTCTCACCTCTATTTCCTCAATAGAATGCCGCGGCATGCACCTGACGTCCAACCTGTCCTGTGTTACTCATGTTAACGCTATCACCGCTGAATCATCGCGTGCGCTCGGTTACCTAAAACGAAACTTAAGAACTGTACCCGCACATCTACGCACTACTTATGTCAGCCCGAGACTTGAATATGCTTCACCTATTTGAGCCCCCTCAGAAGTTCCTAATTAATTATTTTGAATCCCTTCGAAACCATAACGCACAATTCATAGTTTTCATACCATCTTTGTTCACTAAATATGTCAATGTCTTCCTTATTAAGCAAAGTTATACTATTCATCCCTTAAGCACCCTTTGACTAGTCTCACTTCTGTGTTTAATTCATCGGTGACATTCCTACCCAGCTCTATCCGGCACATCACTTTTAGAAGAACTTATTGAAATATACCACCCTAAGAATAGCAGCAAACGTTTCAAACGTATTTTTGGCTGAATATTTTATTTTAATAACCCACCCTTTCCTCTTGTCATCAAACACTGGAATGGTCTTCCTGGAACCATTGTCATCGTATCAGATCATAAAACATTCAGTTGCGCTCTGTGTAATAAATTTTGCCACCATGATAGCGGTCCGCACACTGAATATTTTATATCTTTTAAGCTGCTGCTATTTTTGCTGTGTCTTTTTATGACTCAGTGGCTAAGTTCCATACGCTTTCTGATTAGTCCTCTTCAACATATCTGGAATTTGTGCTTAATAATGCTAACTTAGATTTTTTTTTTGTGCGTTGTACGTGCTTTGTACTTAGTGTTGATAACGTTAAAATCGGTTTGTCATGATTTCTTGCTTTGTTTATTTTATGCATAACCTATTTGAAGGTACATATTTAGTCTATTGATGCGTTTTACTTAATATATATTTTAATTGCCCTCCTCACGTGATGCCCTTGAATGGGTTTTTGGGGAATTGTGATAAAAGAAATTGATTAATTATTGTAATGGCATCTAGCGCATCCCTATCTTTACATGTATTAAAACTAAAAGTTAAGTCGATCATATTGCAGGATTATTTGGAAGGAAATGTTTACTTGCCAATTCTAAACTCCTTTCAGACCGCTTGCTTTCGGTTGATCTGCTACACGAACCACCACAGCTGCAGCACCAGACACCAATGGCGGCCTCGTTTTCTAATATATATATATATATATATATATATATATATATATATATATATATATATATATACATGGACGCACGTGTGCGCAGTTAGAGAAAAATACCGAATAAAAAGAAAATTGTGTGATTTTGCGCACTGGCGAAGAGACAAGTTTATTTGGCATGCGATTGAACAGCCATGCCTCTAACGGTTCAACTCCGGTCTAGGGCTTTCCACAAAGGAGAAGAGAACAGCTAGAAAGATGACTGTTCGATCTCCTTCCCATATGAAGACCTGTAGCTACCATGGCTCAGTAGAGAAACTTTCGCCTATTTTGAACAAATCAGTAGGTATTCTTAAAGGGAGCTAAACCAAGATTCGGATTTCACAAAATAAGCTTACAGAAGTCTTCAACAGGGCTCCATAAACCATGAAACATCACTCATATAGCCTTATCTCGAGCGGATGGCCGTATTTCTGGAAAATAAAGGAGTGAATGAGAGAGAGCGTTGACGTCATCATATCGCAGAACAGTAAAGCAGGAGGAGAAATGGCCTCGCTCCCTTTCCTCTCCGCGTCCTCGCGGAGTCAAAGCGAAGAGAGGAGGAAATGAGAATCGCGAGGTCACGCGTCTTTTCGGTTGTGTGCGAGGGCGCTCTTCTTTTACAAAAATACGACGATCCCTTGGAGATACCGCTTTATGAGTGACGTTTTGGAATTTGTAGCGTCCCGCCTATCGATTCTGCGTTGTTTTCTTTAAATTCGATTTTCGGTTCAGCATGCCTGAGGTCATGCCTGAGGTCACGTGGCCCCCCTCAGGTTCCGTGACCCCCTGAGGTTACGTGACCCCCACTGAGGTCACGTGACCTCAGGGAGTCACGTATCCCTCAGTACCCTTCTATCCTTTCCCTCAGTACCCTTCCATCCTCCTCCTCAAGAGCTGCGCTCTAATCCGGCGTTACAAGGAGTTGCAGACGGCTTTCACTTTTTTTTATTTGTTACTTGAGAGGAACCTTTTGACAAAAGCAATCGGTGACAACGCGAAGAAACATGCGGAGGTTATCGTGCGGCGTGAAGCTATTTACGACTATTGAACTGGGCCCTAATCTTTTCACGAAATTGTACCAAATTTCTTTAAGACCTTCTTTTTTTATTTTATGTGCGTTGTAGTGTCTGCCTGGCCTTTTTCTTGATGCGCAAGCAGCTCAATGCATGCGGACGAGACCAAGGCTGTTAAGCGAGGCAAAAATATGAGTTTTCATAATCTACGCCACCAACCATAATTGGAGATGCGTATGGTTAACAGTGGTATGGTTAGGTTTATCGCAGTGGCTAAAACTTTTATGTCGGCGGCGGCAAAAACTTTCATTGCGGACGTCGAATGAAGCAACACGGGCAGAGCCAACTTCATTTTACAACCTCCTTTTCTTTTTTCTTTTTGTCGCAGCCGAGGTAGAAATTTTGTTTTGTGCAAAGAAGCTCTGGGGTAGTTTTGAGAAAGTAAAGGCAATTATTCTGTCAAGGTTGAACAAATCTTCATTAATAGCGCAACATCCGTCAACTGTGCTTGAGGACAATGCTATCTGAAACCAAATTTAGCCCTTTGCAACGCTTGGAGAATATTGCGCAAGGCACAGTTTCTTTTAAAAGAACACAGAGCGTTGCACAAAAAAATCTTCCGCTAGTAACAACTAAAAAAAAAACTAATTTTGAGGCATGTATTTGCGTGGAGCAGCATACCGCTAAACAATGGGACTTCAAGCGTATTCGCATTAAAAAAAGGAATTAAAAGTGTTCTCAAAGATGAGAGGCATGACGGCCTAGCCCTTTCGGAAGCCTGTGCACACGCTGGCGACAACAAGCTTCCACAGCGAAGGCGTAGGACTCAATCCGCTGCTTCGACGAGGTTGTCGCCAGCGTGCACAGGCCTCCGAGAGTTTTGTCAGACAGTTGCGGTAGGTTGTTTAAACCGCTCGTCCACATAATATGGTCAGAAGGCGGGAAACAGTTGCTGCGCCATTGCACATTGCCCGTACGGCTGTCTCCTATGCCTCCACCAAGCATCGGTACCGACAACGCTTGCCAACATGAAAATGGCGACGCTCTCAGTGTTGTCAGACCACAAAGCAATTTCGCATAAGGCCTATTCGGCATAGTGAGTCAAACAGCATAAAGGCGTATAATATTATATTTTACGCAGATACAATATTTTATCTCTTTTTGCTTTGCAACGTCGGTACCAATTTAATATTTGTTCGCGACTAGAAAAGTAAAACCTGTCGAGTATACGGTTGCGTATGTTATGTCGTTTAAAGTTATAATTAGATCTTTTTTACAATGTAGCTGGCTTAAAACGAGCGAGATAAATTTTCGGTATTCTTTATTACGATTCTCATACCTTTCCAGGTGGCATTTAACAAGCAACAAAAAACAATTCTCTTCTGTTTTCCGGCAAACTGCCTTTGGCACGGTACATTTTGTATTCCCTTATGAAGTATACTGCTGCAAAAACAAGCAATTCTTCACCCGAGCCATCAGCATATGAATTCAGGTAAACTTTGCCTGACATTTATTTTATCTATTTTACTATATAGGCGCTGAGAACTCAAACTACGGCGAGCGTGGCGAGTC